ACCTCCTATTTTTAATATATGTCATTTTAAGAAATTGCACATTAATGAAAAATATATTTTTTTTTTTGTCAATAATAATTTTATTTAATGAAAATAGAGATTAATGTTTTGAAAAAAAGTGAAGAGTGAATATTAAAAGACGTAATGTTAAAATTCATAAAAAGAAGAGTGCATCATTCCCATTCGCTACATTAAAGAGGATAAGGTTGAAAATAATTACTACCTCCTATTTTGAATATATGTCGTTTTGAAAAATTGCACATTAATGAAAAATATATTTTTTTTTGTCAATAATAACCTTATTTAATGAAGATAGAGATTAATGTTTTGAAAAAAAGTGAAGAGTGAATATGAAAAGACGTAATGTATTTATTAACTAAATGAGGGTAATAATGGAAAAATATGTACAAAAGATCCAAAACGACATTTATTAAGTTAATAGTTGATAAAGTTAGAATAACATTTAAAAAAAAAATAAGAGAGAGTAATTATTTTCATCCTTATCCTCTAATTATTTTTAGAATATAATTTGTAATTGCTTAAGTTCGCGTAATTGGTGACTTTTTTAGTGAATGGAGGGTACCTCAGTAAGGCCATATGCAGCTCTTATTTTTACTATAGCGCGGACTTTACTCTATTCTAGAGTAGATTTGAACATTCATCTTCAGTCTTTATCTCTACATTTTACTCTACATCAAATATATTATTGTTTTATTCATTTTTTATTTCAAATAAATTGCTATATATATATAATCTTATATAAAATGTAAATTACTCAAATAATAAAAAAAGTTTTCAAGATCTTGGAGGTATGGAAGTGGTTTGGGAGACTACTAGAATTATCTCTGTGTTCCTTTGATTTTTATGTCATCTTTAATTATGTTGTTTTTATTTGTGTATCTTAAGTCATTTTTAATCATGTTGTTTTATTTTGTTACTAGTACGTATCTTGTGCGATGCACGAGACATAGATATTAAATAATTTATTTTTGCAGGTCTTGTCCGTTTAAGTCTAAAAAACAATAGGGTTAGCATCTATTTTCCACCTCTTTTAATCATGTTGAGTCTAGAAAACAATAGGGTTATAATCCATTTTCCACCTCTTTTAATCATTTTTTTTTTTTTAGCCAGAACATTAAATATGAGTATGTTAGATGTAGCTTGTAAATAATTAATATATTATCTCCCTAACACATTTATACTAATATAAATTTGATTCTAGTATATATATTTATTTCTTAATATAAGAGAAAATAACAATTTTACTTATTCTTGTTCACCATATAATATATAATTATTATTTAATTATAAATTTTGTTTTCATATAATCATATCATTACTAGTACAACACCCGTGTATTACACGGGTGCTTGTTAAAAAACTATTCTTAAATTTTAAAGTTAATGAGAAAACTATATTAAATTTAGTTTACTTTTTTACAAAAAAAATATATTACTATATATTTTAGAATGATATGTGTTACTTATGACTTACATGTGTTATATTATATTAGTTTTTATAACTTATATCATATAACTACTTGAAATATAAATATATTAGTTGATAAGTAATTTTATTTTTCTAATTAATATTAAAAATAATTTTATTATTGTTATAAAGATAAATATAAATTATTTTTTTTATACATAGCATCAAATATTAACATTATTTATGAAGTTTTCTTAAATGCCATAGCATCATGTACAATTAAAAATAGCATCAAATATATTACTATATAATTTAGAATGATATGTGTTACTTATGACTTACATGTGTTATCTTATATTAGTTTTTATAACTTATATCATATAACTACTTGAAATATAAATATATTAGTTGATAAATAATTTTATTTTTCTAATTAATATTAAAAATAATTTTATTATTGTTATAAAGATAAATATAAATAATTTTTTTATACATTAATATGGATGTTAAATCGAAGCTTATCAAAAGAAGATTAATTTGATATATTACATATGTAAAACTGATAAAAAATACAAAAGTTATTAACTTTTACAATATATATATACAATTCAATGGTTATAATAAGGAATGATATTAAAATGTAATTAATACATGTAACATGACCATAAATAATCAACATATTTATGGTAATCCGAACCTAATTATTTTTGGTTTGGAATTAAATTAAAATTTACCCAAGCCTAATAACGAAGCATGTAATTTTGCCACATAGGATTCCGAAGCACCAGAAGCAGTCATGTAGGCTCAGCGCGTTCTGGATTAATATATAGGGAGATTATTTATAAAAGTTATAGAAGTTGTAGATCTTCGCTTTCTTTTTATTTTATGTAATGAAAAATATTTAGTGCTCGCTAGTATTATTTATTTATGTAATCAATTTAAAATATGTAAAAAAATATAAAATTAGATAGTGTATAAATATTTTACAATATACGCATCCTCTCTATATATAATTCCCGAATGCGCTGAGCCTACGTGGCAATATATATAATATCGAGGTATGTGAGAATACAATGTTCTTGAAAGAGATTCGCTCCGTATGAGCACTGTTTCCCAGGATACGGTAAAATCGAATAAAAATCCGAAGAACTGGAACTAAGTCTCAACCAAAACACTTAAAAAAAAATTGGAGGAAATAGCCTTTAGGAAATTTAAATTTTCTTTCCTTAGTTCTTCCTCTCGTGTATTTCTCCTCAAAGAAGACCACCCTATATGCCTGGGCCGCCTTGCGATAGTCATCCAATGTTCATTCGTGTTCAATGCGTTCATTTAAAAATTAAACAAACTTAGAATTTTTGATCATATAACTACGGAGGGCCTTACATGTTCGTTCAAGAAAGTAATAAACTATATAGTGTCCCGATGTGCATGTAAATGTATTACTAACATTCATCAGTCCAAAAAAATTCCTCAACATGTCTGGTGATTACAAATGTACATAAATTATATTGATACATTCGGGCCTTCATAGCTGGTTCATATAATTCTTCAAATTTGATTCATGCATGTATGTGCTATATTTGCCACACTCCTACGCAAATAACTCATGCAAGTCTATTTAAATTATTGAACTATAAACTGATTAACCTTGAGCTATGATACAATTGTTGGGTTCAACAAAGCACGTCAGTTAATTTTTCGTTAATCGAATCCTAAGATGTCAATATAAAGTGCAGTGGATCTAAATATTAGTATCAAGATCTTGCGTGTCAGATGTGCCGACTCAAAGATAACTCACAGTACCGGAGACAGAGTGGCGTAAGTTTCTAATTTCTAGCAAGAGCATCAAACCCTTACATGGTGTATTAGTTGGCTATAGCAGGGACCTTAAGTAGGTTAGGATTAGGTCTCCCAATATGAAGAGAAACACTTGGGTTATGGTTCACTTTGTCACTAATACTATTAATAATGAATTAGTCCACTAAAGATCTAGTGGTCGAATACAATCGACAACATACCATGTGATTAATAATATTTCTCAACTCACCGAGTACGTCGACTTAGTGAAATAAGTCTCACTATTTACGAGTATAAAATAAACTTCACCTTTGTGGTCTAATTCAATACACACAAAGTATACTTGTAAAATTTATTAGTCAAGATAAACTAATCTCACATTCTCCTATGACCATACCTTTGTCCATTGCTCCCTCGATTATTAATCTTTATATTGTGCAAGGAATCACTAATAACATTTTCTGTGCATACGATGTTTCACTATATTATCTTCAATGTCAATAACACGAAAAATTGCAAATTCAGACATAAACTAAATTGCACAACAATTGGCTAAACATGATTTTTTTAGGGGTGGGCAAAAAGATCAAATGTTTTCTTGTATCGAATCAAACCGGAATGGTCCGGTTCCGAAAAATACTGTTCCGAAAGGTTTTTATTATTTTTTTTGTCTCATTCTCGGTACTGAACTGTTTTAAACAATGTCGTTATCGATTTTGAATATTTTTGTCGCGAACCGTCCCATTTTAATTTTTTTTCGTACGAAATATTATATATATTGGGTAAGTCAAATTCGGTAACCGTCCCGAACCGCGCCCGAACCGCACCCACCTGTAATTTTTTTTTTATTGAATATGAAAATAAGTTCAAATGAAACATTGCTTTAAGTAGACAAACCATCATGAAGTCCATGTGTGTATTCCGATGGGGCCAGGTCAATATTTCAGTGTCAAAGGTAGAAATCTTGCTCCAATTTACAAACTCCGGAAGATGTTGTACTTAATTAGTAATACCTAAATGTAGTTATTAATATGCAAAAACTTAAAAGGTGTTGTTTTTACATGCAAATTTGCCAAGAAAAATATACACATCAATCAATTTTCCATTAATTTCAACTGGCAAAAAATGCTAGACCAAATATCTGAAAATAAGGTAAAACACAAACTAACAAACTAGACAAATATAGACATGAATCCAATAAGAAGCAGTGGAAAATAAACAAGACCGTTGGAAAACAAAAGGCAATGTACTGAAAAATCTACTTCTCCAAAATCACAGGATCTCAATTCTAACTAAACTGAACTAACTTCCCAGTCTTAAAAACTCTGCACCCTGAATTTCCACTCCCCTCGAACCGGATCATACGAGACAAACTCGGCCCCTTGTTCCCTAGCCATCTTCACCAGCATCTCCCTATAACTCTGTACCTGGGGCCCGTCCACATATTGTTTGCCCGTTTTCTTGCTCGTGCATTTGATTTTAAGCAGGGTGACCTCAGCAGGCTTGTTCAGGCCCTGCCCCACCGGTGGCTTCTTCTTGTTATCCCCATACACAATCAGTTCACGTTTGTTGAATTGGACAATCGACCCCAGATCGAGATTCCTGACGTCCGTTTGCCCAAAGAATCTAATGCTTCCAAATCCAGTCCTCCCGAAAACAAAGCCGTCCACTCGAGTGCAGCTTCCCGGTTCGTACTTTTCCTTTGAGGCTATTTCGGTCAATGATGGCTGCGTGTAGTAGTCTTCCCCGTCTGGGAGCTTTGGCATTAACGATAGTATGTCGGCTTCAGTTTTTTCGGTGACTGAAGGATTTTGGTCTTGGTACGAGTCTTGGATGGACGAATTGGGAGTATTTTCTTTCTCACAAGCCTTGCCTGCAAATTTTACACATTCGAATCAGATGATAAAAAATAGGGGGGAATGTGCAAGCATGAGAAGACAAACACATGAAAGAATGCAACGAACATCAGAAAGATATATTAAAATGCATTGCATTATTCTATTACTCTATATTACAAATTCTTTCAGTAACAAAATATTATATTTATTTTTTAAAGTTATTGAGCTATAAGAATACAGAAATGAGAACTTACCACCTGATGACGAATGCAAAGACAAGGAGTTTGTAATCCAAGCCTTGGGGTTCGGGCGTGGCATGAAAGGACCTACCGGACAGGGTCTATCAACGTCATCACAGAAAAACGGGACCTGCAGAATGCATGATCAACAAAGGTTTTAATTTTTTATTTTAATTTTTTTTCCAGGAAGAGTGTGCAATGTGTGAGGTTTTGGAATAAAAAAGAACTCAGAAGATTGGTTTTGGGCATAGCACTAAGTCACCTTGGCCTCACTTCTCGTGCAAATAAGTCTCGAAGCAGGCAATGAGCTTTTTCTCAAGGACACGTGCCGGATTCTCAATAGTGATGGACTACGGTTGGTCGAGAGATTGTTTTTCTTGGACGAAAGACGGTTTGAGGCCTGCATTCATGAATATAGGATAAACAAGAAATTTGTTTAGGAACTTGGAATCCTTACATAATGAGAAAGGATATGACTTACAGGTAAACTTGATATTCCGTTATCTCTTGGTTGATCAGTTGCAGAGAGCATGGAAAAGGGAGCCACTGCATGTAGTGACTTCTGGCCCACAGTACTTGACAGTACATTCCTATCAAAATCATCAAACGAAAAAAAATGTTAGTGAAAACATAAATAGCCAGAGAAAATGGATGTGAAATTTACTAAATATAAACAGGTTGAGATAGAAAACGCATCTCATATATGAAAACTACGGTGCACAGAGGTCGAGGGAACTTACAGCTGTTGTCCATTGATGTTCTGATAATAAACCTCTTTCGCCCTTGTGAAGCCGTCTGAAGCTTTTTGAACGGAAAGGAAATAATAAATCAGTATCATGTGTCACACTCTTCATCACCAACGCAAGAAAACCTAAAAATGAAAACAGCATTTTCTTACCTCGTGATGTTTGAATCGGGTTTTCAAATTGACCAGGTTCTGATCCATGCCTAGCAAAAGGCCAAGGATCTGATAGCGGTACTGAGGTAGGCTGTGCAGTAATAGGAGAACCTCCAACGATGGGTGTTGATAGAGCATTATGTGTCGGTTGAGAAGTTGTTGAATTTGTGTCACTAGGAGTAACTAAATCCTGCTGTTTTGGGACAAACGGGTTGAAAAACGGCTCAGATGGAGAAGGTTTGGTGATCTTGTCATTAGATGTAAACGAATCTTGTGGTTTAAGGTCAAAAGGATTTGGTTTAAATGGCTCAAACTGAAAAGCTTTGGAGGTCGTGTCACTAGTCGTAACTAAATCTTGCTGTTTGGGAGCAAATGGAGAAGGTTCGGCAATCTTGTCATTAAGTGAAACTGAATTTTGAGATCTAAGGTCAAAAGGGTTTGGTTTAAATGGCCCAATTGGAAAAGCTTTGCAGGTGGTGTCACTAGTAACTAGACGTTGCTGTTTTGGAGCAAACGGGTTGGATTTGCACGACTCAAACGGAGAAGGTTTGATGATCTTATCATCTGATGCAACTGAATCTTGCGATCTACGGGCAAAAGGATTTGGTTTAAAAGGCTCAAACTGAAAAGCTTTGGAGGTTGTATCACTAGTAACTAAAACTTGCTGTTTAGGAGCAAACGGGTTGTATTTGAATGGCTCAAATGGAGAAGGTTTGATGATCTTATCATCTGATGCAACTGAATCTTGCGATCTAACGGCAAACGGATTTGGTTTTAATGCCTCAAACGGAAAAGCTTTGGGCGTAACTATAACTTCCTGTTTAGGGGCAAAGGGGTTGGATTTAGACGGCTCAAATGGAGAAGGTTTGCAGATTGTGTCATCTGACTTAGGGGCAAAGGGATTGGATTTAAACGGCCCAACTGGAGGATTGAAAGAAGATTTGTTAAGTGACGAAGGAAATTGAAAGACGTTCCACTGAGGATCAGAGGGTTTGAAACCAGCCGGCAGTCCACCTATTGAAATAGAGAAAACAGAAACCGATTATCATCTCTTCATATTGAGATAAATGAGAAAAAAAAAAAAAAAACATAAATTTGCCATCAACACTCCGTCCAGACGAGTCTTGATTACCTTTGTTATGTAATTCATAGTCCTCTACCCTCAGCTCCTCATGGCTCTTACCCTTGTAAGTCTCCATTCCTGATATAGAAAGAATCTTATCGCGGCCAAATTCCTGTATTGGTGCATAAGTCGGTACATAAGACGACACTTTGCTTCCTTTATTATGGTCACCCGATGTAGCTTTAGAAGCCGTTGTCCACTGGGAACCTGTCATAGAAAGATCGAACAATTAGGAAATCACTTCACGCAATATATATCAGAATTATACATTCGTTTTCTACTGTTTTTCCTCTTTATGTCAGAATTTAACTTACCGGTAGAACCCTGAATGCCGGGCGCCTGAGTAAACTTAAACTTAAATGGCGAGGTGCTCGAATCAAAACCACTCATGGTGCTGGACAGCAAAGATTTCTGGGTCGGCCAAATGCCCGTTTTCTGACTCGTATCCTTAGACAAACCAAACGCTGAAGTGTTTGTGCCGAAACCCGGGTTTGGCGGCACCCCAAACGCGCCAGAGCTACCAGATGAAGAATTCCAGTAAAAAGGCAGTGCCTTTGAGTTGAAATCAATCCCTGAGTTATTCGGGACTCCAAATACGGTCTCTTTGACGCCAGAGGTTGGCCAGCTGGCGGCCGAGTCGGCACGGGAAAGGAAAGGAGACGTCCCAGCGGTGGGACTCGAATCAACTGCAGGACGACAACAAGGAAACATGTTATACTGATCGATCGTAAAGGGGAATTATTATTGAAAACACGAAACTGGGCATCTACAGAAATACGAAAAAATTGATTCTTGAATTCAGGATATCTACAGAAATACGAAAAAAATTGATTCTTGAAATTAGGATCTAAATTTTTGACGCCTGTTTCTGTGGTTTTATTTCAAGTTTATCTGAACCCAGAATTGTGCAATTGAGAATCCACAAAACGAACAGAGAGAAAGAGAACTTACCTCGAGAAGTTAGCACCATTGTCAGTGTTTATGTATTGATCAATGGTAGTAAGGGCTATGGCGATGCATATATATATATGGGAGTAAGGGTTTTGGCGCGAGTAGCTTAAAGACAAAGCAGTTTTCTTCATGAACCGAGTAGCTTTGCTTTCAAGCTAAACAGTTTAATTTGCCTAAAATACTAAATAAAAAATCAATAATATAAAAATAATATAAAACCGTTTTCAACATCTGGTAAACCGGTCGAACTAAGAAAAGCGGCCCGTTCAACTATACTGGGTATTCCCATATCGTATGCAACTCGGTTAATAATAAAACTCTACAATTAGTATCAACTTATAAAAAATCCAAAAGCTATATAACTATCGTTTTATAATTTTAATTTGAAACTCAAAAGATAGGAAATTTAAAATCAATTTGAAGTTTGAAAGAAAAATCTAAAAATTGCATATCCAAAAGATTTTAAAATTTTTCTTTTACGTTTTTTATTTATATTGAAATGCTAATATTTATATTTTTTTTTTATTTTTTATAATTGATGTGGCATAAAAGGATTGCTTTAAATTTTTAACCTCTTTTTTAAGTTTTTTATTTATATTTTAATATATTTATTTATATTTATGAAAGTATATTAATATTCTTAAATTCGTAATTTAAGATATTTCGAGTCCTAAATTTTATTGATAATAAGGCTCACTTACCCACGGTGGGCACACGTTAATATGTCTACTACTTATGTGGCATACACACATTGGTGATGTATTTTTTTGAACATATTAACATCACCAGTGTGTGCATGCCACATAACCGATGGGCATATTAATATGTGTCCACCGTGGGTAGGGAGTATTATCCTTTTTATTGATAGTTTTAGATCTCTAAAGTTTTGATTAAATAGACTTTAATTTTAGGGACCCAATTAAAGATTAACATCTGTCGAGACTCAACTTATAAACCTTCATTATATCCTTTTAAATTTTTCTAATTGTAAGATTAGAGAATCGAGGCAAAACAGTGCGGTTCCACGCATATAAAGCGCACCATAAGAGAGTAAGCCTAGGTGAACCATAGTGAGGTTTCATCCCAAAACCATGGTGAGGTGGAACCTCACTATGGTGCACCTAAGCCCACCCTCTTATGGTGCGCTTTATATGCGTGGGACCGTACTGTCTTGCCCTGATTTTCTAATCTTATATGGTATCAGAGCGTGTTGAAGTATCACTTGTGAGTTGTCCCAATTGATTTTATAGGGAAAATGAGCTTAGTATATAAACCAAGTGGGCTACTCCTCCTATCATCAATTGGTTTTGGGATAGAACCTTACTACACCTAAGCTCACACTCTTATGGTAAGTTTAATTTGCGTGGGACTACACCCTCTTGCCCCGATTCTCTAATCTTACACTAATCTAAAAATTGTATGTTATGAATATCATGTTTTTTTATTCTCGAGTCAGTAATTTTCGTAGTGACCCGACAGGTGACTCACTAATTTGTTCTTTTAAACTCATGATTTGGTTGATGCCATTTTTTTGTATGCAGTCGTTTTGTTATTACTAACAAATATAGAGAAAACTCACATAAAAATGTATATGATAATGTGTTGTTTTACATAATATATATTTATTAGTACAACTCCCGTGTATTACACGGGTGCTTGCTAATTTTTTATTTTTTTTTTAAATCTAAAATTAATAAGTGTTTGCTAATTTTTTTTCTTAAAATCTAAAATTAATAAGAAAAAGTAGTTGAAAATTTAAATAAATTTTATAAAAATATATATTATTATCATTTTTTATTTGTGCGACTTACATGTGTTATATTATAATATTTTAACTTACAACATATAACTACATTAAGCATAAATATATCAATTGAAAAATAATATTACTTTTCTAATAAATTTTAATAAATATTATTATTTTTTATTATAATAAAGATAAATATAATTTATTTATTTCATATATACAATATGGATGTCAAATCGAAGATCATCAAAAGATGATTAATTTGATATATTATATATGTAAAACCGATAAGAAATACAAAAGTTATCAACTTTTAAAATACATTTACAATTCAATAGTTAATTGAAGGAAACAAATCAAAAGTCAGTGATATATTAGTCACTTAGTGCATCACTATGTAAAATTACAAAGAATTAAAGGGTTATATTAGTACAAGTGATATTAAAATACCTAAGTTAGCTAAATAATATTTATAGAATGTCCGAACATATATTATTAATTATTAATATATCAATATTATTTGTCCAAACCTAATTACGAAACATAATTTTTCGTCAAGTAGGATTCCGAAGCACCACAACCAGCCACGTAGGCTCAGCGCATTCGGGAATTATATATAGGGAGGATAATTTAAATGATTTAAAATAGAAATAATAAAAAACTTTCAATGTTAGTATATGAAAAAAGAGGAAATAATTACGGCTAAACTCGGCTAGAGAATCGAGTCGGGCTCGCCTCTGAGTCACTGGATCTTCATTTCAACTGTCAAGTCATCGGGCCAATTATTAAATAGAATAATTAATTTAAAAGAAATTAAAAATTATATATATAGTATTTTTCTTATATAAATATACATAAAAGTAACAGAAATGAATATTTTATTTATAAATTTTGTACATCAAAGTATTAATATGATCAAGTTGGGTTACCCAGTGATGCAGCGAAAGCGTAAACGTAAAAGAAATTTAGGGTTAACTCCTAATTTGTATTCAATAGAAAACAAAGAAGTCACCAAACAAAGGAATATGGGTCTTAAATAGGACTCTTAAGAAAACCTTACTTAACATAAACCTCCCTACCAAGTAAAGTACGAAAAAGATTAAATACCTTAAATAACAGTAAAATAAAAAAAATAAATAATCAAGCTAGAGATCCCAAACGATTATGCTTGTCAAGGAAAACCAACGCAATCTCGTCTCCATCATTCTCCCACTCATGATAAAAATTCGCCCCTCGAGTCTGACGCAACCTCGTCCTCCTCGGAATTATCACCATGGAAAAGCACCAAGTCCTTGACATTAAAGATGTATAATGTGCGAATGTGAGATGAAAAACAAAGGAATAGACATTAGGATTGATTTTATATGTGATCTTATTAGAAGAAATTCGATCATATTCATCAAGATAGCCCACACATAATCGTCTAGCTCAAACTCGACATGGCGCCGACGCGCATCTGCCAGTTACTCGTACGTAGCATTAGCACTATCCAAATTCGCTCGCGTAGCCTCATGAGTGCGAAGCATCCTCCATAAAGTCCTCCGCCTGAACGATGTTTGAGAGCGACGTGAACTACTGCAAATAACAACTCCACGAAGCATGACGAGCCGAGATATTATCCTGAGAGACGAGATGGCGAAGTGCGTCATTATCTGTGTGCAACAAAAACTCCATAAGAAATAGATAGTGACGCCAATAATGAACAGCTCGCACAACGGCATATAACTCCACATCGTACGTGTTGCAATGCAACTGTAAACCCAACAACTTTTCACCAATCTCGAACCGTCACCACCTTACTCTAGTCTACACGGATCCCAATCGGTCGTTATCATGTATCCTAGAAACAACACCAAATTAAACAAAAAGAAACATTTCATCGGGGTCGCATAGAACCACTCCACGCACAAAAGTAGCAGCACCGAGCGAACATGGGGTGTATTCTCATTGACAAAACGACTATAAATAAGGATGCAATCGAAATAAATAGCAACATGCCTACCGATAAGGTTACAAAATGCCTGGTTCACGATGCACATGAAAGTGCTAGGCCCCATTGGAAAACCCAAATGGCATCACCAACCACTCAAGGACTCTCAACGAACCTTGAAAGTTGTTTTCCACTTGTCGCCCCGGAGAATATGAATAAGATGATAGCTACTGTGGAGATCGAGTTTAGTAAAGACCGAAGCCTCGTGCAACTCATCAAGTAAGTTATCCAAGTGAATTATAATAAAATGATATGGCGTTGTAATCTTATTTATTGCATGGTTGTCCACACACATGCTCCGCGAGCTATCCTTTTTAAAAATAAGAAGAGCGGGGACAACACATGATCTCAAGTTTTGTCAGACCACTCCACGCCAAAGGAGTTCGTCCACTTTCCGACACAGTTCCTCATGTTAAGTCAAGCTCATATTATAGTGTGTCCAGTTAGGTAGAGATACGCCTAAAACTAAATAAATTTGATGTTGAATATTATGCAATGGCGATAGACCAATTGACAGGCCCTCCAAAAAGATGTTAGTCAACTGCAGGTGCAGGTCGGTCACACTGATGTAGATGAGCGCAAGTACCTTAGATCAGGTAATGGAGCTCGCAGAACAAGAAGACTGGAGGTCGCTGCTAGTGGAGTGGCTGCGGAACCCTGTAATAGATCGAGACCTACGAAGAGATCCAATTGCAATAGGAGCCATGAGATTTTTCCCGCAGTACGACCAACTATACAAGAGATCATTTGTAGGCCCACACCTACGATCATGAAGGGAATTATGTTATCAAGAACAACCATGAGGGATGGTGTGGAGATCACATCAAAGCAAGAGCTCTAGTAGGAAAAGTACTACGGGCGGGTTACTTCTGGCCCAAAATGAGGGCTATGGCTCGAGACCTCGTCAAGAAAGTACTTTATAAGACTTTTAAAATTTTGATGTATTCAATTATAACTTTTTGAGACTTTCGAAAAGTCTACCTATTCAATTGAGATTTTAAAAGACTTTTTATAAATCTCTAAAAGTCTTAAGGTATTCAATCTAAACCTTCTGAGAGTCTCTATAAGCACCCGGTATTCAAAGTCGAAAGACTTTATGAGACTTTTTAAATTTTAACAATATTAGTGACTTTTGTAACAAAATTACAATGACAAAGTCCAAGTAGAAATTTTATCAATATGGTAAGATTTTGATTGACTTATATGACTCTCTTCGTACTCTTGTTTCTCGATATTGTTTTAATGCACGCGAGTATATATCTCATATCACTTTCATATTGTATTAGTTTGCTCACTTATGTTGATAGCTTGCATAATTTTTATTTTCATCACAAATACTAAACATAATTTTGTTCTTTTATTTATTTTATATAATGGTTATTTTATGTGTGTATACTTTTTATTCTCTCATTTTACTTGCTTGCGAAATTTAGTTTTTAGAGGTTAAATATTTTGTTCTATCTTTTTTGCTTGTAAATATCAATTTTAAAATATTAAAAATTTATTTTATTTTCCAAGAGTTTATTTGTTGAAATAAAATTATTTTGAGTATTATTGATAACTTTAAAAGATATGATTACTGTCTTTTGACAATGTTGTGTCTTGGAAAAATATTTTCTAATAATATTTTTATTATATTGCAACACGATGCAAAAAAATACGAAAATAAAATTAATCAATAATTGGACAAATATGGCTGAATGGATCGTAAGTTTCATTGTAGCAAAGTTATGTACACAAGTTTGAGCTTGTTCTCAGTTAACAAACGAATGAATTGCCATGTTGGAGTTCGACTGTTTGAAGCTCGTGAAAGCTCGAATCGACTTTCTTGTTTAATTAACTTAAAACCTAAACAAGTTGTTTGTGAATAGTTCGGTTCGAATAACAATTCTAGGGTTTATTCATACTTTTTAGATGATTATTCTACGAAACCATTTTTTTCTTTGTTCTTGTTGACAACTAATGTTTACTATTATAACTCATTTCGTTTTTTTTTTTTTT